TTTAAATATTTTGATAACTATATTTCTATAAAATTGGTTTGCTTTGCAACTCTATTTTATTATATGTTTAAAAAAATCCTTCTGAAAAGGGGTCTATAGACTTCACCCAACTTCACAAAGGGTCCTGGACACAGGAAAGGCTGAGAACCAGTTATGGAGGTTAGAAACTATAAAAGTGGAACACAATATACTAAATTGGATTTATTTTTTATGTGTTGGTTAATTTCACCAAGCTGCTTTTTATTTCTTTTTAATTCTTTGTTATAAAGATGCTTGTCTGGGATAGGGGAAAGGAGGATTATATTGAGAAATAAAAGTGATGAAAAAACCCCCCAAAAATTCAATAAAATTTTAAATTAAGAAAATTAAGGGTCAAGGGGAAAGTAAAAAAAAAAATCAATTGTGGGGAGAGGAAAGGGGCAAGGACAGTGGTTTGTTAGCAGGAGCTGGAAAAGAGAGCTGATAAATTAGTTTTTTTCCTTCTTCCCCTTTCCTCAGAAAAGGGAACTCCTAGTTCACTGCCCCCCTTCCAGATGCTACCTCTTGGGGTTCCCCACAAACATATACTTCCTTGTCTCCTAACTACAGGCCTTGGGTGATGCTCCCCCATACCATGCCCCTTAGAAAAGGTGACATAAATTCCAGAGAATTATTCCCTCCTCAGGCCATTAAAAATCAGCTTTGGGGAAATCCCAGATTCTTGGAATTAGGGTATTATAATTCAATTCAACAAATACTTATTAGGCATCTACTATATTCTGTGCAAGACACTTTGAGAACACAGTGAAAACATCTAACTGGTTTCTGCATGCCTGTAAGTAACACATTCTACTGGAGAGCAGACAGTTCAACACATACACAAACTGGGTACAAAGATCACTAAAGAGGGAAATACAAAACAGCTGACAAGAGCCACCAATTGAGAACCAGAGAAGACTTCCATTTGAATGCAGCTGTTTGCCAGATAACAGCTATGGGACTCCAAAGGGAGTGAGCTCTTTCCTCTCTGGGCTTTGTTTCCCCTGTCCATCAGTCAACATGCATTTACTAAGATCTTACTTTGTGCCAGGCACTATATTAAATGGGATACAAAGAAAAATGAAATTCAGAGCCCTGCCCTCAAGGAACTCACAGTCTAATGGGGGAGACCATATTCAAGCATGTATACCAGGTACATGGAAGGAGATCTTAGAAGTGATCAGGTGATCTCAGAGGAAAGGCACTGGGAGGACAAAACAGGGAATGGAAAGGGGGAACTAGGAAAGATCTTCTGCACAACCCTTACACTAACCCAGTCTACCAAGAGAATGATAAAGTAGTTGGACTAAATGATCCCGGAGGTCCATTCAGTCAATCAGCAAGCATTTATTACATGCTAAATGGGTGCCAGGCACACAAAGTAAATAGAAAAATATGCAAAAAAAGTAAATAGAAGGTAATTTTGGAGGGGAGGCAATAGCAATAGCAGATAGAAAGACCAAGAAAGGACTTCTTGGGTAGTTGTAGGTAGGTGGTGCCACTGGAGCTTTGAAGGAGGCTAGGAAGTCTAAGAAGAGAGGAGGGGAGGGAGTGCATTGCAGGTATGGGGGACAGCCAGTTCAAAGGCCTGGAGTTGGGTGGGTATGGAATGTGACTGGCCAGATTAGAAGCCAGGTTGTAAAGGGCTTTAAATGCCAAACAGAGCCATTCATATTTGATCTTAGATGTAATTGGGAGCTACTTGGAGCTCATTCAACAAGGCTAAATCCTATGATCCCATAGCCTCCCTTCTACCTAATTCTTGCAGAAAAAAAAAGACAAAACTTTTTCAATCATTTAACCATAAGTGCAGGTACCCTCCCTCCATTCATCAATCCTTCACAAGGCTAAAAACTCTAAGAGAGGGGGGGGCTCAGTCTTAGACAGAGACAGAGAGCTTGCTTAAGACTATGGGAGATGCAGAGAAGCCTTATTTCTGCACACACCACCTTTTCCAAAGACTCTCAGGTGGACTACTTGGGAATTCTGGAGCCCAGAGGACAAAGAGATCTTACAGCTTCCTTTTCCCTCCCAACCAGTAGGATCTTGCCCAGTCACTCTCAGGGCCCTAAAGGCAGGGTGTGTAGCCATTAGTTGTTCCTGACTAGGTCAATCATCTAATGTATGGCATGGTAAAAATGTACATCTTGAGGGTGGTGCTTGAGAAATAACGCTGGACTAGGACTTTTGACTTTGGGCAAATCACTTCACTTCTAGAGGGTGTTAAGACTGGATGACCTCTCCATTCAAGCTTTTCTATGTTCTTGTATCTCCGTCACCTAGAACAGTCTCTTGATAAATGTATAATTGTTCCAAGATCCCTCCCAACTCTGACTTCCTATGTTCTAAAACCTCATTCAGCCTTAATATCATTTGATTCTATGATGGTGAGATTCTAAGATTATAGGGTTAACAGCCCACCAATACTGTTTAGTTGGAGTCAGCTGGAGTGGGTTCTGGTCTCTGGACACAGAGCCCCACCTGCGCCCCCAAACCTAACTCTTCCCCTAAGGAATGATTGAAGGAGAGGTAGAAAATCAATGCAAAAGTCCAAGAATTCAAGAGGGAAACCACTTTATTCCCTCCCTGGTTCAGTAGCCTTGGGGAAGGGGCGGGGCAGGAGTTGAGTTTAACTGACTCCTTCATTTCAGTCTCGAAAAGTTGGGGAAGCTGCCCAGTTAGTCTCCAGTCCTACAGAGATTTTAATCTCTTTGTGATCAGATAAAGGGGAGGGGGGGGGAGCATTGCCTCCCTGCTGGGGAGGGCCATTCAAAGCTGGTTCCTGTAATAAAGTGATTTAATAGATCTAAAGAGGCCAATTCCCTTCTTTCTCCCACAATTACTTCCTGTGGGTTATTCACATATGTAAATGAGGCAGGAAGGGGGGCAAGGGAGAAACTTTTAAACTAGACGTCTGGTTGGGAAGGGGGGTGTATGGCGGTGGGCTGGGGACTAATAATTACTCTGAAATCACCATCTACCAAAGTCGCCCTAAGCCTCCACAGACCCTCGCCTTTTCTCCCCACCTCATTATTCCCCCCTTCCCCTAAGTCACTGCTCTCCAAATTCTTCTGCTCCCCTAACCACTGGTCTCCACATCTCTCCCCAGATCATTGTTCTTTTGGGTTCCCTCTCCTCAGTCACAACTGGCCTCCCTATCCCTTGTAATGGCTTTTAGGGATACAGTCTGCCATGACCCTTCATTATCCTTGCAACCTCCTCCCCTTCTAAGACTGGCCCTCCCCTTTCCAGGTGCATTCCTGTCCATCTTTTTAAGCACAATTCAAATATCATCTATGATGACTGGCTTAGATCTAGAGTGCTTCTGGAATGCATTCTGACACAAAACCATCCAGGCTGTGAATGCATCTTATCCCTCACAGTGGACTTTAAGAAGCTTGAGTGCTCTTCTTTAGCATCTAGCCCAACGCTTGAAGTGGGAACCAAGTGCTAGCCAAGTGCATCGAAGAAACTGAAAAGGGATATGAAATAATCAGATCTGCAGGACTTTAGTTATCTCCCCCCCACACACACATTCACAGTCCTTCTCCTGGTACCCTGGCTGTTTGTGATTGCCAGCTAAATCCACTCTCTCTTTCAGTCTTTTCCTCCCCCAAATAGTCCCGAACTCCACCCCACCTTGGGCTCCAATTCAATCCCTTTCATTTCTCCCCCCCCCCAAACCAAAGGCCCTAGAGAACAGAGCTCAATCCTTCGAAAGCAACCCCTAAATCTTTGGGCCTGTTAGGGTGGTAGTGATAGGGGAGGGAAGAGAACACCCTAAGGGTGAACCCAGAACTAAGGTCTAGGTTGCACCCCTTTCACCTGCCCTTTTCATCCTGGGGTACTTCCTCCCAAACAGGGGATAAGGAACCCAGGATGGGACAACTTAGCTTTAGCAGAGAATGAAAGATCTCTACATTCCCTATCCCTGGAGGGAGGGAGGGAAGCTGCAGACAGACTAGCCAAATCAGGGGTAGGCGGATGAGCGAGAGAGTGGGGGGAAGTCCAGGAGCCCAGGCCCCTTCTGTTTGTGTCCTGGAATGTTAGGGCAGCAATTTGAGAGCCGTCTGGGGCCATAAATGCCAAGTCTGGAAGAATAGATCCAGAGCCTAGACTGCCCTCCTCCCCCTAGCCCCGCGGAGCTGGGGTGACACTGAATTTCACCCCCACCGAGCTGAGTTGCTTGCTTTCACTGAGAACTTGGGGTTGCTCCTGCCTGTAAAAACAGCCCTAGCCCCTGGCTCTTGGCGTCAGTCTCTTTCTTGGTCAGTTCCACATGCAAGAGGCATCTGAGTCACTGAGTTTGGTGGGTTGGGGGTGTGTGTGCGCAGAGGTTCTACTGGGAGGGGGGAAAGGGGAGGGAGAGAAGAGTGGACATAATCAGGATGAAGTCCCCTTTCCCCTCTCTGCCCTCCCTTGTTCCAAATCACGAGGTTTACCATTTCCACAGCTCTAGTGGATGGCACCTAGGGAGTGGGAAATCCAGCGGCTTTAAGTCCCTGGTTCACCCAGAAGCATTCCCTCTCTGCCAAGTCCAATGAAACACTAGTGGACAAATCCGATTGCCTAGTGGTGTTTCCCCTAGCGCCGCCAACCCTCCCCCCCAAGTCTTTCGACCTGCTAGCTCACTGTTCACCACCACCACCTCCCACCAGGCGGGACAAAACCACCTCAGTTCCTGCCACATGGGGTCACCTCCCTGGCCTCTGCCCCCCAAGGGGAAGAGGTACAACGGACACGTGGTGAGCCGTAGGGAAAAGGGAAGCTACCGAGGGGTCCAAGCTGTAGGGAAGGGATGAGAGGGGATTAATTTGGGGGCTCACACCACGTCCACTGGAGGACCACTTTTGGGGCGAAGCATGAGCAATAGGGAGATTCTTAGAGGAGTGGGTGCAAAATCGGAGGTCTCTCCCTTTGGCCCCGCGGTGAAGGGGGGCAGCGGCACGGCGACAGAGAAGGGGCATCAGGACACCTCTCACCTGGTGCACAAAGACGTCCACAGGCGGGTCGAGCGCTACGCCCGCGCGGGCGGTCATGGACAGGAAACCGAAGCCCATGCGCACATTAAACCACTTACAGATGCCGGCGCCGTGGAGCGGCTGCGGCTCCTCGCCAGCCCGGGCCGCGTCCCCGGTAGCCGCCTCCTCCGCTGCTTTTGCACAGCCACCTGGGTGGGGGAAAGGGCCACATCAAAAGCTCACCTCAGCCCCAGAGCCCGCGCCCCACCTCCCCCTGGAACCTGGACCCTTCTAGCCGGCGCGTGGGAATCCAGGGGTCTGGGGCTTCCAGCCCGCGAGATGGGAGAGCTAAAGATCTGATCCGAACCATCTGCCCCTCTCCCTCTTTCCCTCCCACCGAGCGCAGCAAGTCACTAAAATCCTAGATGGCCCCCGAAAGTTTCCTCGTCCTTCCACAACTCTGAGCTGTCTCCGCTCTTTCTCCGGACCGGCGAACCGGCAAATGTCCTGGCTCGCTTGGGGATGGATGCCCCTCCTCCCCCCCCGCTTGCCCCCGCCCCTGCCGGGAAGCGGCAGCTCCGGAGCGCGTGCTGCCCGGACGCCTGGGTTCCTGGGGCCGAGGTGGGGCCGCACTAGGCTGGGTGGCCTCCAGACCCCACGGGGTGCCCTGTCCTACCTCCCTCCCCCGGCACAAAGATGGTCCCATCCTTGCCCAAGTTCCCAATAGCGAGACCAAACCTGCGAACTGCTGGTTGGACACAGAGCCCATGGTGGTCGGCTCAGCACCCGCGGCCCCGGGCCCCTGGTCGGGTGGCTGCAGGCCCCAGAAAAAACGTCCGAAGGCAAAGGAGGGATCCGGGAGGAGGCCGCTACATCTCCACCGGCACAAAGGCGGTGGGAGGGCCCACGGCTTTTCAAAGGCTCCCAAATTCTAAAAGACAATAACCCCCCGCGGGCAGCCCCCTCCTCTCCTCTTCCCTCCCCTCCCCCACCCCCAGCTCTGCTCTGTCCTGCTCTCTCTCGGTCCCTCCCCCCCACCCCATGCCTCGGGCCTCTGACACCTCTGAGCTCTCCTAGCTCTGCACCTGGAGGGCCACTGGACAAACCTCTGGCCAAGGGGACCCCCTTTTATGACCCCCCCAGAAATATTGAGAAACCTTGAATTTGGGGTCATTTCCGTTTATAGGATCAATAGGGGCCCTTAGAGAAGAGGAGACAGTTTGAAGGGGGAGGGTCTCTTGGGGGGTCTTCCCAGGGTCCCCCCTTTCCCAAGTCACGTGACTACATCCTCCCCTCTCATCTCCCCGCGAGGATAATTACACATTCCTGAGAGTTGGGGGAGGGAGGTGTGAGTCGGAAAGCGTCGGCCAATCAGGGACACAAACCACCTGTCAAGGGAGAAATGGATGAGCCCTCCCCCTCCCCCCCACTGAGCTTCCCTTCCCCCTCCCCCTCCCCTCCGGCCCCTGGGCTGACCAGTCTGTTTGGCGCTGACCCACAGTCCTCCCTCCACCCCCCACCCAAGTTCCCTGCCCCGTCTCTGAAAGGGATGTGGGAGAGGGAGGGGAAGGAAGACTGCATACATTGCCTTCTAACTCAGCGCCTAGTGACTTGCTTTTTGCCTGCCCGTTTCTGAGTGTGATGGTTCATTCAATAAAATTCAGATCTAACACGTGTGTTTCTCTGAGAGTGTATCGGTCCTCCTCTCCGCATGTTTCTGCCTCCCTCCTCCCTCAGCACCCACGTGAAGCTACTCTCTCCCCATCTACGCAGCCCAGACTGCAGTCTCCCGAGTTTTCGAGTGAGGATCTAATTCTAGGGCTCCACAGCCGCGCACCCTGGCGCAGGAGCCTAATCTCAACTCGGTACCGCGGCGGGGATCCACACCTAGCTCTGTGGCCCGCCTCTGTATCCACCTTGCCCGCCTTCTCCACCCTGGGAGTTAGGGATGGGATGCCTCCATAGAGTCCCTTAGGTGCTGCGGCCTCTGATCCACGTCTCCATCCCCATGAGGAGTCTACCCGAACCGCAGAAATTGCACTCTCGAGGATCCCCTGGGAAGGCGGAATCCCCGGGGTGGAGACTAAAGGAGGCAGGTTACTCCAAGAAGATTGGAGGAATTTCCTTTTTGGAAGAGAGGATGGTGGAAGCGGGAAGATATCCTAGTTGGAAGAGGAAACCAGGGGACGTGATTTCCCATTTGGGAGGGGAGGAGGCAGCCACTCCAGCAGCCCTCCTGGGGTGTATGACCAGAGGGAGGTGAATCAGTAAGAAGGTGGCCACGGCCCTGGCCGGTGCTGGACAATGGCCCAGGGCTCTGCGCGCGGCCCCAGCCCTGCCCCTTCACTTCCGGTGCTCAGTTCAAACTGGACAATGCCAGCTCCGGCCAGTTCCCCACCCTCCTTCCCCTCCCCCACCACTCCAGCCCATTTAAAGGGACAGCGCATCCTTTCCGGGACATCGCCTTCTTCATAGTCCCATCTTCTGCCCACGGGAACCCTTCACCTTCTCTTGTCTGACCTCCATAACCTAAAATCTCTGATTTGAAGTGAGGGGAGAGATAACTTCCCCTTTCACCCTCAAGGGGGCGCTTAGGAGAGAGCTACGACTGGGGCATTAGAGGGTTGGGGGCGGGCGTTGGGGGTGGTGATGTGGGGAAGATGTTGGAAATAACACTGAATTTGGAGAGCTCAAGCTCTGGAACTAACTCTGGACCTCAATTTCCTTAACTGTAAAATGAAGGGATTAGACTAGGGTCTAGTCACTAGATGATCTCTAAAAACCTTTGGAGCTGTAGTATTCTGTGATTTAGTAAATTAAATGGGAAAAAAAAACCCTGTACACTCAAAACCCTTTATAAATAAATATTAATGATTGATTATTTTTAATAATGTGTGCCCTACCCTGTCGCTCCCTATTGCTTCCACTCCCTCAAATTTGGGCTCAGATCTTTAAGCGTTTTTTCAGGGTCAAAGTATTTTCCTCTCCCATCTCACCCTTGGGCTCCCCTCTCGTTCTTAGTAGCCCTCTTGGCCTCAGATCTCTTTTTCTTGATCAAGATCCTAATTACCCGAGGAGGTTGTGGCGACTTCAGCAGGAGAAGGAAGTGAAAGATCTTCGATAGCAGGCCTCTAGGGGGTCCAACGGCCCTTCATCTCCCTTGTCTGACTGCGGAGCTTCTGGTTGAAGGGCAGCCAGGCAGATCGCGAGAACGGATTCTCTCTCTGTCCAGAGTGCTGAGGTTGCTCCGTGCCTCTGTCCATGGTGCTGATCTTTGTGCGGGTTCTCAGTCCGGCAATCCCGGGCGTTGATGAGAACCTCCGGCAAGGTTCTCATTTTGAGTCCGCCCCTACCCCCCTTTCCCAAGCTTCTCCCTCCACTCACTCACACACACACACACACACACACACACACACACACACACACACACAC